AACAATGTATTCTTGTTATGATAGGTGGTTTGGACACTTATGCTCTAGTCCTGTCTCTGTTCTAGTCCTGTCCGTCCTGCTGCTCAGAAGGAAATGGTTTTCAAAAAACATACTTGACTAACTGGTTAATTATGGTCATGGGGGGTCCACTCATCTCAGTGTGTTTTGGATTCAGCACTGCAGGTAAAGGATGTGGAAGAAGGGCCCACTGAAATCCTGGTCTTGTATGCTTGCTGAACAAGCTAGTTTCCAAATTGGGAAACCTCTCACAGTAAAAGGATGGCTTAAAGCCTAAATTTTATCAAAACATTTAAAAAATATATCCACAAAAGCGGTGGTACTTACAATCAATGTGAAAGGTCTCTTGTGCTGATGACTTAAAGCGGAGTTCCACCCAAAAGTGGAAGCTCTGCTTGTTTGACTGCTCCCCCCTCCACTGCCATATTTGGCACCATATGGATTTGAGCGGGTACCTGATTTTGACAAGTACCTGCTCCCACTTCCGGCTCAGTTCGCCGCAGCGAAGTGAGCTGGAAGTTCAGCCCCCTTTTTCATCCCGCAGTATCCTGGGAACTTTCACAGATCCCAGAGGACTGCCGGACCAGTCAAGATGCACAGCACGACTCACGCATGCACAATGGGCACCGAGTCACAGCCTGGTGTCTACAGTTGAGATGCTGGCGACATGGAGAGAAGAGGCAGAGAAGGGATGGCGTGGGTGAGCACATCGCTGGACCCTGGGACAGGTAAGTGTGTTTTATTAAACACCGTTTTTATAGCTGCTGACTTTTAATGAACACACACGTCTGGAACTCCACTTTCAGTTGAAATCTTCCATCCTCTGATTTCTCTCCCACCAACAGGTGAGCTCAGACTTCATTAGCCTAGGGATACTCTGTTTTTCCTTTGCCAGGACATCTTCTTGGCTCCTCTGTTTGATTTCAGTCCTTGGAGAGGTGTCCCTTCTTAGTGTTGCCTGCACTTATGCTGTGCGCCTTTCCTGCTAATAACTTTATTTTCTGTTCAGTCTCATGGTTGGATCAGATAGATCAGTTCCATGTTACTGTTTGTTTAGAGTTTCCCCCATACATTTTTTATCTGCACCAGTATGAACACTCCTGCTTCCCAGTTTTTGTTAGTGGATGTACAGTCAGGTCCATAAATATTGGGACATTGACACAATTCTAACATTTTTGGCTCTATACACCACCACAATGGATTTGAAATGAAACGAACAAGATGTGCTTTAACTGCAGACTGTCAGCTTTAATTTGAGGGTATTTACATCCAAATCAGGTGAACAGTGTAGGAATTACAACAGTTTGCATATGTGCCTCCCACTTGTTAACCACTTGCCGCCCAGCCACTGTAGATATACGGCAGCAGGGCGGCACTCGCAGGCAAAACCACGTTTTAAAACAGTTTGCATATTTGCCTCCCACTTGTTAAGGGACCAAAAGTAATGGGACAGAATAATAATCCTAAATCAAACTTTCACTTTTTAATACTTGGTTGCAAATCCTTTGCAGTCAATTACAGCCTGAAGTCTGGAACGCATAGACATCACCAGACGCTGGGTTTCATCCTGGTGATGCTCTGCCAGGCCTCTACTGCAACTGTCTTCAGTTCCTGCTTGTTCTTGGGGCATTTTCCCTTCAGTTTTTTGTCTTCAGCAAGTGAAATGCATGCTCAATCGGATTCAGGTCAGGTGATTGACTTGGCCATTGCATAACATTCCACTTCTTTCCCTTAAACTCTTTGGTTGCTTTTGAAGTATGCTTTGGGTCATTGTCCATCTGCACTGTGAAGCGGCGTCCAATGAGTTCTGAAGCATTTGGCTGAATTTGAACAGATAATATTGCCCGAAACCCTTCAGAATTCATCCTGCTGCTTTTGTCAGCAGTCACATAATCAATAAATACAAGAGAACCAGTTCCATTGGCAGCCATACATGCCCACGCCATGACACTACCACCACCATGCTTCACTGATGAGGTGGTATGCTTCAGATCATGAGCAGTTCCTTTCCTTCTCCATACTCTTCTCTTCCCATCACTCTGGTACAAGTTGATCTTGGTCTCATCTGTCCATAGGATGTTGTTCCAGAACTGTGAAGGCTTTTTTAGATGTCTTTTGGCAAACTCTAATCTGGCCTTCCTGTTTTTGAGGCTCAACAATGGTTTACATCTTGTGGTGAACCCTCTGTATTCACTCTGAAGTCTTCTCTTGATTGTTCACTTTGACACACATACACCTACCTCCTGGAGAGTGTTCTTGATCTGGCCAACTGTTGTGAAGGGTGTTTTCTTAACCAGGGAAGAAATTCTTCGGTCATCCACCACAGTTGTTTTCCGTGGTCTTCCGGGTCTTTTGGTATTGCTGAGCTCACCGGTGCGTTCCTTCTTTTTAAGAATGTTCCAAACAGTTGTTTTGACCACGCCTAATGTTTTTGCTATCTCTGATGGGTTTGTTTTTTGTTTTTTCAACCTAATGATGGCTTGCTTCACTGATAGTGACAGCTCTTTGGATCTCATCTTGAGAGTTGACCGCAACAGATTCCAAATGCAAATGGCACACTTGAAATGAACTCTGGACCTTTTATCTGCTCATTGTAATTGGGATAATGAGGGAATAACACACACCTGGCCATGGAACAGCTGAGAAGCCAATTGTCCCATTACTTTTGGTCCCTTAACCACTTGAGCTCCAGAGGATTTACCCCCCCCCCCCTTAATAACCAGGCCTCTTTTTGCTACTCAGCGCTGCACTAATTCAACTGATAATTGCGCGGTCATGCAATGCTGCACCCAAACAAAAATTGCGTCTCTTTTTTCACACAAATAGAGCTTTCTTTCGATGTAATTTGATCACCTGTGCGCTTTTTATTTTTCACGCTATAAACAAAAAAAAGACCAAAAATTTTGAAGAAAAACAATATTTTTTTACTTTCAGCTATAAAAAATATATAGTAAACTCAAAGTTAGTTATAAATTTAGGCCAAAATGTATTCTGCTACATGTTTTTGGTAAAAAAAATCCCAATAAGTGTATATTGATTGCTTTGTGTGAAAGTTATAGCGTCTACAAACTATGGTATAGATACTGCAATTTACGCCCTTTTTTTGCTATACAGCGCTGCGCTAGTTTAACGGACAATTGCGCGGTCATGCAATACGGTACATAAATGAAATTTACATCCTTTTTTTTTTTTTTTTTTTTTTTTTTTCCCCACATTGAGCTTTACCCAATATGTGTAAATTAATTGGTTTTCGTGAAAGTTATAGCGTTTACAAATGGCGGGAAAGATACTGGGATTTTTAGGGTTTTTTTATACTAATAATGGCGGCGATCAGCAAATTATGGCGGCGATCAGGGACTTATGGCGGGACTGCGGCAGACATTGACATTGGGGGGTACTGACTTGGGGTCACTGACATCCCCAAAAACACTAATACAGTGATCAGTGCAAAAAAAAAAACCACACTTTACTAATGGCAATGGGGAGGAAGGGGTTAACTTTATTTTGCAGGGAAGGGTTATAGGAGTGAGGGGAGTGTTTTACTAGGGGACGGGGGTGTGTACTGGACGGGACAAGGCTGATCGAGAAAGAGAAACTGTTCTTTCTCGATCAGCCCATCCTCGAGCTGACAGGGAAGTGACAGACAGCACAGCTACTGCAGCTGTGCTGTCTGTCACTGTTTGCCGCCGATCGCTGGGAAACAGCCGCTAAGGACCGCCTGTGACCCGGCGACTCACATCTGCGGCGGTGATCGGCGGGACAGATAGGTCGGCCGCGCGCCCCCTATTTGTTTACAAAACACACGTTTTAAAACGTGGTTTTGCCTGCGAGTGCCGCCCTGCCGCCGTATATCTACAGTGGCTGGGCGGCAAGTGGTTAACAAGTGGGAGGCACATATGCAAACTGTTGTAATTCCTACACTGTTCACCTGATTTGGATGTAAATACCTTCAAATTGAAGCTGACAGTCTGCAGTTAAAGCACATCTTGTTTGTTTCATTTCAAATCCATTGTGGTGGTGTATAGAGCCAAAAATGTTAGAATTGTGTCGATGTCCCAATATTTATGGACCTGACTGTATCTGATTTTCAGATGACCTGAAAGTATGGTGCCCCTCGATGGACAAATAAAAGAAATTGGCTTTTACAGTGAGCACAAAAAACAATTTTTTTTTAAGTGGCGAAGGGGGATGGCTACAAGATAAGGACATTTGCTATTTGTTGCATGAGCCTCTTAATTTGCAGTTGGGTGAAATCTTTTTAAAACTTGAGCCAGCATATGCAGTTGTTGCGTTCACGTGTATGTGCATATGTATTGTTTTTGATTAAAAGAAAAGTATGGCTTTTGTTTTTTTGGGTTTTTTTTACCCCCATTTATACTTACCTAGGTGGATGCAGCATCGATCCGATGCTTCATCTGTCCCCCACCGGCTCTAAGGGTGAGAACTCCGCAATCACATGACATGAGTTCTCACAGCCGCTCTGAGCAGAGAGCGGGGACTGTCAGGCACCTCTTTTTGCTCTGCCTCCCCACCGCTCACTGGAGTGCTGGGCTGTGGAGGGAGAGGGAGTGACTGGTCAGGTGCCACTTCAGACTTGGGGGTGGATCCCGACTTTAATGTGGGCTGAATATAACAGAGTTAATTTATCACAGCTCTCCCTTTACCCAGTCCTACTTGTTGGATATTCAGTCATTACACATAGCTGTGTAGTAGGATTTTTGTGACAGGAAGTTGACTATAACTCGCCTGAGACAGGACAGGAAATGCCAAGCTCTGCTTTCCAGCAGTGCATATCATTGTCCATCTGCAAGCCAGGTCTCGGTAGGCTACCTGATGGTCAGGTCTCAGGTCCTGGTTTCCTAGGGACATATTGCCAGCTGCTGTGGGGATCTGGTGACTGGGATTTGTTTTTTTTTGTTTTTTTTTTGGTGGATTGATCTGTTTTGTTTACTCTTCCTATTCTCTTATTTTTTCAAACAGGTCCAACTATGCCGCCTTCTGTGCCTTATGTGGAGATAATTGAGCAGCCAAAGCAGCGAGGCATGCGGTTTCGCTATAAGTGCGAGGGGCGTTCTGCTGGAAGCATTCCAGGAGAGCGGAGTACGGATACTACTAAGACTCATCCCACTATAAAGGTCTGTATAAATATCTGCTTTAAGTGTTTTTATATAAGTGGTTGATTAAAGCCGAATATATTATCTAGAATTTGTAACCTTTTAATACTGCTTGAGCTTGGGGCTAATTCATGCTATGTGCAGTGACCAGCGTTTTTTACTGCACTGTCAAATGCCGGTCGCTGCTAGGACAGTCCGAAAACAATTGTTTTTGCAGCGCACCGTACATGATCACGTCACTGTGCAGCAGTGCAGTGAATTGTTCTGCTGTACAGTGACATGCATGAAGTGTTACATTTGTGCACTTACAGTTGCTACAAAAAAAAAAAAGGGCACTATGATGCATGGAATTGGGCAGCACACTTACCTCCTAATACAGTCAGAATGGACAGCTGCTGGAGAGAAAACTGCTTCAGTTCAGCTCTCCGGCAGCTGTGCAGTCAGTGTGATTTCAGCTTTAAAAAGCTTTAAAAAGCACCAGAATTGTCTTTGCAATCCAGGCCAATTGCTTCCAAACAGTTCAGCCTCTCAGCACCCCCACCGTGAGGTCACCCAGGCACCGCTTGGCCATCTGCGGGCCCGGCTCGCCGTTGGCCAGTGGGGAGGGAGAAGAGCAGACAAGTCCCCTCTTCTTGTGCTGACCCGGAAGTGACGTTATGATGTCACTGCTGGGTCCCCGTTGAGAGATTGTAATGCAATCCCCGGGAAAAAAAGAATGTAATGCTGTGCAATGCATTATGTTCATTGGAACAGAGGGGAGACATCCAGGGTCTTTTAGACCTTGGATGTCTCAAAGAGAACCTGTCGCCAAAAATCATCACATAGGGGACTTTGTCCCCTATGTGATGGAGAGAAAAAAAAACAAGTTTTTTTTTTTTCTTTTTTTTGTTTTGTTTTTTTAATTGTAAAAAGTGATAGTTACACCCAAGCATATACCATCCCCCTCCCAAAAAAATATTGAGGCCCCCACATACGCATGTATAAACATAAAAGCACAGGCTGGGGCGCCTACACATGAAACCTTTGATTGCGACACACATGTCGCATATCACTGCGCATGCCAGAATGAGAGCAATAATTCTAGCACCAGACCTCCTCTGTAACGCTAATCTGGTGACCTATAAGGAGCTTTAAAAGTGTTGACCTATAGAACATATAGGATACTGAAGTTCGTTGCCATTTCACGAGCGCGCACAAATTTAAGGTTTGACAAGTTGGATATCTATTTACTCTATTCAACCTCATCTTTTATATTTAACAAAAAAATAGGGTAATTTATTGCTTTTTTTGTGCCCTAAAATTAACTTAGTAAAAAAATAACGTTTTGTGGTAAAATCATGCGACATAAAAAATTTAAACTAGCACTATTTTATTCTCTAGGGTCTCTGCTTTCAGAAAATATATAATGTTTTGAGGTTTTATGTAATCTTCAGGCCTAAAATGATTTTTTAAATGTGTGCAAAAAAAAGCACAAACGGCTCTAGCAGCGAAAGGGATAAAGTATAAAGCCTGACCCACCCTTTCATGATGAGCAGCCAATCGTTCATCACACTGCAAGGTCTCTCTCCTCCCTGCTAGTCCCCAGGTGTGGTGCTGGAGGCAGGCATGGAGGGGAGGAGGAGATAAACAGCGCAATGTTAACAATATTACACATTTAAGTCACCATAAAGCCTCTTGTTTTTAAAAGCCCCAGACATTCCTAAAATCACCTACGATTTAAATACGGTTTTGGTTAAATTATTTATTTACTTTTTTTTTTTCAGTCTGGACAAGCAGATTGTCATGAGGGACAAGTAGATTGGGGTCCCAATTTAGTCCCTGGACAAGTAGCTTTTTTTTTTTTTTTTTTTTTTTTTTTTTTTTTTTTTTTGTTTTGTTTTTTTTTTTAATTTCCACACCCCTGACTGACAAAGTGAAAACTGAATTTAGATCAGTTTTTTTTTTATTTTTAATAGATTGGCAAACATAATTATCACATTGGACAAAGTATTCAGACCCTTTGCAACAACACTTGAATTTTTAGCTCAGGTGGCTCCCATTTCTCTTGATCATAGCTGAGATGTTTCTACACCTTGATTTCAGTCTACCTGCAGTAAAAGCCAAAACTCAGAGCAAAAGCCATGAGGTCAAAAGGAAGTTCCTGCAGAGCTCAGAGACCATATTATTGCAAGGCACAGATATGGGGAAGGCTACAAAAAAATATATTGTTGGCTGTGAAGCCTTTTATAGAGAGGTGTGTGTGTGTCTTTCCAAATTATGTCCAATCATAATTAATTTACTACAGGTGGACTCCAATCAAGGTGTAGAAACATCTCAAACGATCAAGAGAAATGGGAGTCACCTGAGCTAAAATTTCTTAATGCAGGCCATAGATGGGGAGAAAAAACCGGCCGATTTTTCTTTAAAAAAAACGAAAAATCGGTCGTTAAATCGGCCGACGTTACCAGGAACGGTAAAAAAAAATCTGCTGATTTTCATCCCGTTTACAGCCGGCAAAAAGTGTCTCTGCAGAGAGCTCTGCTATTTCTTTGACGGTTCTTTGACATTTATATCGGCTGCAACATTGTATCTATTTGTATCCATTTCGGATACAGATGTTTTTATTTGGAAACATAGATACATTGTTGCAGCCGCTATAAATGTCAAAGAAATAGCGGAGCTCTCTGCAGGGACACTTTTTGTCGGACTAGAATTCTTCCTCCTCGTCCTCCGCAGATTTTTTATCGGTAAAAAGATCGGCCGATTTTTGCCCATCAGTGCCGCGAAAATCAGCCAATTTTTTTTCAACCTTTACCGATAAAAATCCGCCAGAAAAACGGCCGACCTATTAACCCACTAACGATCCACAAATCGGCCGATTTTATTTTTGCCCGAAAAATCAGCCGATTTTCGCCCCATCTATGGCCTGCATAAGTCTAGGTTCAGACCTATGCGTTTTCCGTTGTTCTGCAGAAACGCACGGTAGTCCAGTTAATATGATTTCCTATGGGACAGGTTCACATCTCCGCGTTTTTTTTTTCACCCGGTTCGTTTTTAAATAGCGTCAGGGACTTTTTTAAACGCAAAACGTTGCATTTTTGATTCAGTAGACTTCAATGAAGACGCTGCAGAAATGCATGTAGTGCGATTTTGATACGTTTTAATCTGCCCAGCAACAAATTGGGGGGGGAATGCAAAACGCATCAAACGCATGTGCAAAAAGATCAAAAAGCACTGCAGAAACGGAACAAACGCAAACTGCATAGGTGCGAACTTAGCCTTCGTGTTATTGCAAAGAGTCTAAATACTTTGTCCAATGTGATATTTCAGCTTTTTATTTTTAATCTGCAAACTTATCTAAAATCTGTTTTCACTTTGTCTTTATGGGCTACTGAATGTAGATTAATGAGAGAAAAAAAAATGAAATCAAATAACTGTACTATCAGGCTCCAACATAACAAAATTGGGAAAAAAAGTGAAGGGAGTCTGAATGCACTGTACATCAGGGAATCTACTCTAATCCAAAGCCTCCACTATATGTGTAATGGTCCCCTCCTGTCCACAGCCGTGGAAACATAGAGGACATTACCCAGGGACGTATTATGGAAATTCAGAGAGGGGGTCCATTTAAAATCAGTTTATTTTACAAATGTTTGGTGTCCTGTAAATAGTCGGCCAGTTGTCACCAAAGGATGTAGCTGGTAGTCTAGCTATTGACTGAATTTCTCTTTTAAAGTGACATTAAACTCTCTTGTTTTAAACCGAAAATAAATCTATTCAAATATGTATTCTTAACTCAAAGTACCTATGCTCTTCGCCTCCTTCCAAATTCCATTTTTTTTTGTTTGTTTTTGCTGATGGTCCCACTCCTATGTAGCCACCCTCTCTTGCTTGCGCCTGAGATGGACTAGGGGGTATGGTCTATGGAATTTGTAGTCTAAGAATAGTGCACAAGACCTCTGTGGATGTGTCTGGATTATTTTTGAAGAATATATTTTTTTTTAGTTTCAATCTAAAATCTGTTTTCAAGGAGTCCCTCTCTGATTAACTGCCTGTGTGTATAAAATGCCTAAGATTTGGTGTCCTAGTGTACCGTTTATGGAGTTAAAGTTGTTACTAAACCCACAACAGTAAAATCAGTCTGTATATGCAGTAAAGCATGCTTGTTATACTTGCTGTGGGACCTAAGGGGTTAATCCTTTTGTATTGTGTCAAAAGGCCATTTGACCTTGTCTTCTCTGCTCCTCCTCTTGTCCAGATGTCCACATCTTATCTCCTGATAAGACAGACTGAACCTAGCAATTCTGCACATGCTCAGTTTAGTGTGCATTGCTAGAGAGGTTTTTTTTTTTCTTGGGATAGTGCAAGTGAACAGCACAGGGCCAGTCAGCACTGTCCAGACAGAGGTCAGGGATTTTGCATCCTACTAGAGCAGAAAGAAAACTCCTACAAGCTTCAACCTGTGCTCTGCTGAACACTGATAGAAGTCACAAGACTGCTCTAACTGCTGATAAGAAAAGGTATTTTGCAATTTATTTACTATAATAATGGCACTTCCATGTTCTGTGTACTGTGGGAGACTAGCTATAGTCTATAGCTTTAATATCCTTTATTAAAGGAGTTGCATCAATGTGCTGATCTGACGTGTGTCCATTACTCTGCAATACAACAGTCAATGGCAAACTGAGTGTGTACCTGACTTTCTTGGGCGAGCATGGACCAATGTGGGGCAGAATTCTTATCACTATATATTGTGGATGGCCATCTTAAGCCTGGAAGGCTTCAACATCAGTTTCAAGATTATAACGGTTGGTAGATCCTTGAAATACAAGCTGCTTGCACTCCATTACTATTGCAAACTGAAGAAAAAAAAAAGTTTATATTTGCCAAAGTGAGCAAAATCATTTCTTGTATTAACCGGTTCACGCTGGTCATACGTAAATATGTGGCCTCTTGGCGGCTGGGCCTTGATGCCGAGCTGCCGCATATTTGCGTACTAAAAGTAAACTTGCTTAGAGCGCACCCCCTGTGCGCTCCTGGCA